CAAGAACCTGCTTCCCCCCCCCAAGGAGGCCTGGGGTCACTGCCTTCTCTCCCACCCCATAGGAAAGGGGTCTGGGGTCTCTCTCCCTCCCTTGGGGACACTGAGGACCATGTCCTGCAGGGCCACCCCCCTGGAGATGGAAGGGGGGGAGCTCAGCCCCCACCCTCCTCCTGGGGGACAGCAAAGACCCTGGGGGGGACAGACCCGGGGGCCAGCCCCAGCCCCACCACCCCCCACAGCCCCCTGGCAACAGGGGCAGAAGCTGCCCCCCACCCCCAGCAAGGGGCCGGGGGGGCCGTTTCCCACCGGGAAGGGCAGGCACAGTCTCATCATCACCCCCCCCAGAGCCCCGGCAGCGAGGTGGGGGGAGATGTTTCTCCAGGAGGATGGCAACTGGTGTCACCACCACCACGTCCATCCCCTCCCCAGGAGGAGGGGAGATGTTTCTCCAGGAGGAGGGGAGATGTTTCTCCAGGAGAAGGGGAGAAGTTTCTCCAGAAGGATGGTGACTGGTGTCACCACCACCACGTCCATCCCCTCCCCAGGAGCAGGGGAGATGTTTCTCCAGGAGGAGGGGAGAAGTTTCTCCAGGAGGATGGTGACCGGTGTCACCACCACCACGTCCATCCCCTCCCCAGGAGCAGGGGAGATGTTTCTCCAGGAGGAGGAGGGGAGATGTTTCTCCAGGAGGAGGAGGGGAGATGTTTCTCCAGGAGGATGGTGACCGGTGTCACCACCACCACCACATCCATCCCCTCCCCAGGAGCAGGGGAGATGTTTCTCCAGGAGGATGGTGACCAGTGTCACCACCACCACCACATCCATCCCCTCCCCAGGAGCAAGGGAGGGGACAATCCGGGGAAATAAACCCCGGGGCCAAACGGGACAGGGGGACAAGGTGGTGGTGGGTGGGTGAGGCTCAGTTCTCCCCATGGTTGATGGCCGTGCTCTCCCCACGCAGCAAACCCTCCCGTTCTCCCGCTCCGGGCTCTTCCTCCCCCCGGCGCCGGGGCAGGAGGGTGAGGAGGGGCCGATGAAGGCCGTTGTAAAGAGCAGCACCCGTCAGCAGCACCCCAAAGCCCAGGATCTCCAGGCCGTGGAAGGTCTCCCAGCCCAGGGCCAGGCTGACGGCCCAGATGACCAGGGTGCGGAGGCTGTCCAGGACCATGCGGGTGGTGGCACTGATCTCCTTGGTGACGCTGATGCCGGCGAAGTTGAAGAAGGCGATGCTGCTGATGTTCCCCAGCAGGGCCAGGGCGATGAGGGGCCGGTGCCCGACCTGGCAGAAGGCATCTAAGGCATCTTCCAGCGTCCCCCGAGGGTTCCCGCTGAAGCCACCAGCCGGGATGTAGTACATGGGCACCAGCAGCAGGGCCAGGATGATGAAGCCAAAAAAACCTGGGTGCAAGAGGGTGTTTGTAGCTCCACAAACCACCCAGGGCTGTGTGTTCCCCTTCCCTGGTCTCCAGAGAGACCTTGGAGCCCCTGCCAGTCCCTCAAGAAGAGGGGCTCCAGGAAAGCTGGAGGGAAGGGGGGGCATCCAGAGAGAACTGGAGATGTGGCCCCGTGGCCACCTCATGAAGTTCAACCTGGCCAAGTGCAGGGTCCTGCCCCTGGGTGGGGGCAGCCCCTCTGCTGGGAGGGGGGGCTGAGAGAGTTGGGGGGGGACAATCCAGGGAAATAAACCCCAAACGGGACACGGGGACAAGGTGGCCAGGGGGGTGGTTGAGGCTCAGTTCTCCCCATGGTTGATGGCCGTGCTCTCCCCACGCAGCAAACCCTCCCGTTCGCCCGCTCTGGGCTCTTCCTCCCCCCGGCGCCGGGGCAGGAGGGTGAGGAGGGGCCGATGAAGGCCGTTGTAAAGAGCAGCACCCGTCAGCAGCACCCCAAAGCCCAGGATCTCCAGGCCGTGGAAGGTCTCCCAGCCCAGGGCCAGGCTGACGGCCCAGATGACCAGGGTGCGGAGGCTGTCCAGGACCATGCGGGTGGTGGCACTGATCTCCTTGGTGACGCTGATGCCGGCGAAGTTGAAGAAGGCGATGCTGCTGATGTTCCCCAGCAGGGCCAGGGCGATGAGGGGCCGGTGCCCGACCTGGCAGAAGGCATCTAAGGCATCTTCCAGCGTCCCCCGAGGGTTCCCGCTGAAGCTGCCAGCCGGGATGTAGTACATGGGCACCAGCAGCAGGGCCAGGATGATGAAGCCAAAAAAACCTGGGTGCAAGAAGGTGTCACGCTGTTTGTGGCTCCACAAACCACCCAGGGCTGTGCGTTCCCCTTCCCTGGTCTCCAGAGAGCCCTTGGAGCCCCTGCCAGTCCCTCAAGAAGAGGGGCTCCAGGAAAGCTGGAGGGACTGGGGGGCATCCAGAGAGAACTGGAGATGTGGCCCCGTGGCCACCTCATGAAGTTCAACCTGGCCAAGTGCGGGGTCCTGCCCCTGGGTGGGGGCAGCCCCTCTGCTGGAAGGGGGAGCATCCAGAGGGACCTGGAGACGTGGCCCCGTGGCCACCTCATGAAGTTCAACCTGGCCAAGTGCGGGGTCCTGCCCCTGGGTGGGGGCAGCCCCTCTGCTGGGAGGGGGGTCTGAGAGAATTGGGGGGGTCAGCCTGGAGAAGAGAAGGCTCCGGGGAGACCTTGGAGCCCCTTCCAGTCCCTCAAGAAGGGGGGCTCCAGGAAAGCTGGGGAGGGACTCTGGATGAGGGAGGGGAGCCCTAGGAGGAGGGGGAAGGGTTGGACACTGCAAGAGGGGAGATGGAGCTGAGCTGTGGGGAAGAACTTGTTTGGTGGGAGGGTGGTGAGAGCCTGGCCCAGGTTGGCCCGAGAAGCTGTGGCTGCCCCATCCCTGGAGGGGTTCAAGGGCAGGTTGGAGGGGGCTTGGAGCAACCTGGTGTGGTGGGAGGTGTCCCTGCCCAGGGAGGTTTGCAGCCCCCTGGAACACTCAGCCACCCCCCCCAGCTGATGTCACCACAGACCTTCAGTCCCAACGGCCCGCAGCGGGTGCACGTCATGCTTGTAGACAAACTTCTCCTCCAGAACCATCTGGATGGCAACGATGACCTGGGCCATGATGATGAGCAGGTCACCTGCGGGGAGAGGAGGGAGGGAAGGGAAGGCAGGGGAGATGAGGGTGGGGGAGAGGAGAGAAGGGGAGGGAGAGAAGAAGGGAAGGGAGAGGAGAAGAGAGGAGAAGAGAGGAGAAGAGAGGAGAAGAGAGGAGAAGAGAGGAGAAGAGAGGAGAAGAGAGGAGAAGAGAGGAGAAGAGAGGAGAAGAGAGGAGAAGAGAGGAGAAGAGAGGAGAAGAGAGGGGAGAGAAAGGATGAGGAAGGAAGGGGAGAGAAAGGATGGGGAGAGGAGAAGGGATGGGAAGGGGAGAGAAAGGGAGCAGAGGGACAGGAAGGAAGGGGTGAGGCTGAGCCTCTGTCCCCCTGCACGTGCCCTGGGGGGGGTTATTATTCCCCCTGGGGGGGGTTATTATTCCCCCTGGGGCCCATCCCACCTCCCCCAAGGGCCACCACCTACCGGTGATGACCTCGCTGAGCTTGTGTTTCTGGTCGTGGGAGCTGTGCAGGTCGGCCAGCCCCACCACCACCAGCCCCACGATGGTGACCAGGATGCCCAGCCACTGGCTCAGCTCCAGCCTGCGGCCCAGGAAGGCCACGGAGAGGAGCCCGGTGAAGATGATGACGGAGCCTCGCAGCATCTTTTTCCCCTTGGGGGCCATCCCACCTCCCTCAAGGGCCACCACCTACCGGTGATGACCTCACTGAGCTTGTGCTTCTGGTCGTGGGAGCTGTGCAGGTCAGCCAGCCCCACCACCACCAGCCCCACAATGGTGACCAGGATGCCCAGCCACTGGCTCAGCTCCAGCCTGCGGCCCAGGAAGGCCACGGAGAGGAGCCCGGTGAAGATGATGACGGAGCCTCGCAGCATCTGGAAGCTGGAGGCACTGGTCATGTTCAAGGCTGCAGGGAGTGAAGAGCAGGTGAGAGGTGATTAACGGGAGGAAGGGGCAGCGACACTGTCACCCCCCCAACCCCTGCTCGGAGCTGGCAGCAGTCGTGCCAAGACACAGCCCCACAGGAGCCTTTTATCCCCCAAGGGAACGTGGCTGAGCCCTGCCACAACTCGCTACACGAGTGGGAAGTGTTTGCTTTCACTTCTCTCACCAGCTTCAGGGTCAGCAGCCCTGAGGAAAGGGACTTGGGGGTGCTGGTGGATGAGAAGCTGGACATGAGCAGGCAGTGTGCAGCTGCAGCCCAGAAGG